TGGTTTGTCTCTGTTTTGTTAAGCTTTGAGCGAACGAAGCTCGTCTGCATGCTGGCAAAAAACTGAAAAGAACAAACTCTATTTATTATTGGTTTAGCAAAGGTGAGGGCGCAAGGAAAAAAGCCACAGGCCTCCTGTTGACACGAAAATGGGTGCAGTCTGAACACAGTGCCTGCCCGTGGTCATTAACGTAGTTGTTTGGTAATAAATTGTCTTTTATCATTTTAGTGACTTTGCATAGCCTGCAAGGGATCCTCCCTGAACCCGAAGTTTCTTATGGTGTCCTCACAAAAGAGAAGGTATCTACAGGAGTTATTTGTAAAGAAGTAAATTAGTTTTGCCGTGAAAAAATCATTTTCTCTAGCCCTAATGACCATAGTGCAAAGTGTTAGGAAATGAGGCAATTCATCAACTCTCTGGCTCAGTTATTAAAGGAAACTGCGCGCTGTATATTCATAGTACCAGCGTAACTAACGTTTTCCTGAGTACAGTTCTTTCTATTTTTTGACGATACCTNAATAAAGCATGCAATTTGCTATTTTAATTTTAATAGATCAGTTATCAACCATGACCGGTTTGTAAAAGCACCCATGACACATTATCAAATGTTACCCCAACACATGGTTTGTCTCTGTTTTGTTAAGCTTTGAGCGAACGAAGCTCGTCTGCATGCTGGCAAAAAACTGAAAAGCACAAACTCTATTTACTATTGGTCTAGCAAAGGTGAGGGCGCAAGGAAAAAGCCACAGGCCTCCTCTTGACACAAAAATGGGTGCAGTCTGAACACAGTGCCAGCCCGTGGTCATTAACGTAGTTGTTTGGTAATCAATTGTCTTTTATCATTTTAGTGACTTTGCATAGCCTGTAAGGGATCCTCCCTGAACCCGAAGTTTCTTATGGTGTCCTCACAAAAGAGAAGGTATCTACAGGAGTTATTTGTAAAGAAGTAAATTAGTTTTGCCGTGAAAAAATCATTTTCTCTAGCCCTAATGACCATAGTGCAAAGTGTTAGGAAATGAGGCAATTCATCAACTCTCTGGCTCAGTTATTAAAGGAAACTGCGCGCTGTATATTCATAGTACCAGCGTAACTAACGTTTTCCTGAGTACAGTTCTTTCTATTTTTTGACGATACCTGCTGACGTTGCAAACTTTGTCCTCGAACTCTTTTGTTGGCTCTGCTCCAACAAAAGGTAGCTGTCTCAAAACTGAGTCTTCAAATAAGACATTTATGCTCTAAGCACAGAAAGATCTTAATGGAAACCCTCTGTGAAACATCAGCGTCGCGAGATTAACTGATTACCCTCCAGGTGTAGAAAGGCAACATGCCTCATTACCTGTTTACTGATGATATAAATTTTCAGTTGCTCTCTTTGACAATGAAACACAAAAACAAACATTATTGTGCTGTATTATACTTTATCCCATACGTGGAAGAAAAAGAGCCAATGAAGCCATGAATTCCCATTTATCGTTTTAGTGACTGTGTAATCAGTAAGGACATTTGTTGGGTACCAAACGCTTCCGGTGATGTCTTCACAGGGAAAGGTATTTAACTCTTTATGTCTTAAATAATTCGGTAACTCGGTAGCTCGTGTATAAAGAACCTGTATCACCAGGTACCGGGTCTCTCCACCCGGGTGTAAAAATGAGAACTTACCAATTTAATGCTGGAGGTAACCCTGCGATAGACCAGCAGGGGGTGTCGAAATATTCTTAGTCGCTTCATGCTACAGAGACCGAGGATAAGCGCCGGCCTGATGAACCACGTAACTCGTATGCAGCCCGCATTTTTATCACTGGGTACTCAATTTATCTCATCATTTACTTATTTTTCATCAAATTGAAGGAAGCCCCGTAAAGAGGTTTTGTAAGATAGCAGTAGGCATTTGTCGCTTTCTTCGTTTTAAAACTGAATTTCTCTTCTCTCCTACGTGGGACAAACTTTGAGGCCGGAAACCCACCAAAATCGTTTCACTTATAATTCCAGTTACCTTGTTCACTATTTTGCATGATTTATTTCAGGAGTCAAAATCATCGAGCTCTTCCCAGGAATCCAGTGGAGGAGAATTTCAAGAAAATAGTGGAGCACACTCATCATCAAGAAGATTAAAAGTTACTTTCCTGGGATCAGAATGGAGATCAAGTAAAGGAGGACTTTCCACTTTAAACAGAGAGTTAGCAATAAACGTTGCAAAAAGTCCTGAGGTAGAGGTCACCTTCTTTGTCCCACGATGTAATGAAGAGGACAAGAAAACAGCTCTTGGTCGCAAGATTAATCTTGTCGAGGCAATCAGGCGGCCTGGTATGGATGAGCTGGCATGGCTTGTGTGCCCACCAATTGATTTACAAATTGACATAGTTGTTGGACATGGTGTCAAGCTCGGTCATCAAGCACAAGTTATAAGGCATTATCACAAATGTAAATGGGTTCAGGTTGTGCATACCGCCCCCGAGGAACTCGGGATGTATAAGACATATTCGAATCCAGTATCAGTTAATGAGAAAAAGCATGAAACAGAAGTCGAACTTTGTGAAATGGCTGATTTTGTTGTAACAGTTGGACCCAAATTGACTGAGGCTTTTCGTGCTTACCTTCGCCCGAGTGGGAAAGATCAAACAGTTTTTGAATTTACTCCTGGAATTTTCGCTGATTTTTCTGAAGTTGAGCAGGTTGATGATGAAAGAAAAAAATTCCGAGTCCTTGTCTTTGGGCGTGGAGATGATGAAGACTTTGAATTGAAAGGATTTGACATTGCAGCCAAAGCTGTTGCTATGTTAGATGACACCCATCTAACTTTTGTTGGTGCACCAGATGGAAAGCAAGACGAGGTTAAGAATCGTTTGCTCGATTGTTGCATCCCTGCTCAATCTCTAACTGTAAGAAGCTTTAAAGAAAGCCGAGAAAGTTTGAAAAAATTGCTTCGCGAAGTGGATCTTGCTATAATGCCCTCGAGAACAGAGGGTTTTGGTTTAACAGGCCTAGAAGCCTTATCAGCTGGTCTCCCCATTCTTGTAAGCAGAAACTCCGGGTTTGGAGAAGCACTAAGTAACGTACTTTTTGGTCCATTTTTTGTGATTGATTCAGAGGATTCTGAAGCGTGGGCCAAAGCTATCAAGGATGTCCGGGACAGAAACAGAAAGAAGAGACTTCAGGAATCGGAAGCATTACGTGCGTCTTACGAGAAAGAATACAGTTGGGATAACCAAACCAAAACTCTCGTTAGTAAGATGATCAATATGACTCAAGGTAGGAATATTTTCAGTGTCAACTTCTGTTAGCAATAGAATGGCTACTCATACAACAACAGAATAATTTTCTTAATATATTAGCTCATCTGGTAGGAAGCTTGGAATTCTCAGAAAGCAGAGCTTTACATTTGCTTGTTATCCTTGGAAATAACTGTAAAGTAGAAAACAACTTTTGATGCTCGGCATTTTTATCTCAAAAAAAGATAACCTAGGGAAGCTTTTGGGAAATTGTATGGTACATACAAAGTTGTATGAGAATCATCGTTGTCAGTATAGTCCCCTTAAATCACCAGTGAAGCAACTAAGTGGTCATGCTTTCTTTCGGTAGATTCTGCTGTAACTTGTCAGAGTTCAATAAGAAGAACACTACCAACTCAACAAACGGAAGTCATGACTGAGCATCCTCCAGGTAACGTACCTTCTAAACATACATTTGTGAATACATGTGTTCTGTTAACTGGTTTAATGACTCAAGGAATTAAAAAGCAAACTTTAGGGACCCGTAGTCATTATCAAAGCCGCTTTTAATCCATTTTCCAGGAAATATCGTAACTCGTATAAATTCAAACTCAAAAATTTGTAGAATATACGTGCCAGAAATGCCAACAATGAAGCTTCCATCATTATGTTCAACAAGCGTTGTCATTGGCAATCAGTTCAAAGTGCTTCCAATGTTTCCGATTTGATCGTTTGGGACAAAGATCAACGCTTTCACCCAGGCTATATCTTGAATAACGTTTAGCTATTCACGATTTAGTAATATAATAAAAGAATTCGATTCAGCTGGGTAAAATATCATTGAGTTTTTAGTGCTACTAGAACTGAAGTGGATTCCATTCTTTAAGTCGATATCCTTTCGTTCTATTTCTGAAATTAGCTACCACAAGGAAAAGCTCGACATTCGTGTGTGATCGTGTATGAAACGTGTCTTCTACCTAATACCATATAGTCGACACTAACGCCAACCGATCTGGACATGCATTTAGAGGCGAGTGAATTGATTTTGTTCCGAAGAGAATAGTACCACAAGGAGAGCAAAGGATTTTCGGAAAATAATATATAGAGGATAATACATGGACACGCGTAGATATGGAATGTCTCTTCTCGTGGACAACTCAATGTCTCACTCGTGAGATATAAAGTTGAACACGAGAAGAGATATTCCATATCTTCAAGCAACCATGCATTATTTTGTTTATTATACAAACACACTGATAAGGAAATTTTCCGAAGATTACCGAAGATTTCCGAATATAACCAAAGTTTGTCGAAGGCTTCAATTCGAGGAAGATACGAAGATATTTCGAGCATACACCACCAAATTTAAGTACAGCTTAAGGGTGAAACACGATATCAGTGAAGTCCTCAGTTTCTTCACTTGTAAGGATATGGAAAATGCGCCACCAATTTATCACATACGGGGCAAAAATACCGAATGCTGATTGGCTGAGACAGAAGACATTTTTTATTAATCACAAGGCACTTTTGGTAATCAAGAGGGCATGATTATTTAATGCTAATTGGCTGAGCGCGCACGCATTAAGTTGGTTTCCCGCTTCAAACGGATTTTGAAAAGGAATTTCAGAAACGTATCGCTTCTGAGTTTGATCTACACGCGGTTATTTCATCTTAACGTGAAAGAAAATCAACATGTAGCACAGCACAGTCTTTTGGTGGAAAAGCAAAGGATTTTTCCATCCAAAAATGTATTGATTCCCAGCCTGAAAAAGCTTTGAGTCGGTACGGCTAGTGTTGCACGAAGCATAGAGTTACAGAACTTCATGGCTGCCAGACTGAAAGTTAATTTTTTCGTTTTCCTTCGGGTCCCGCTTATTACTATCAAGGTCACCTTATCGGCGTAAAAAGAGCGTAAAGTTGTTGTTACGTTAAGCTCTCGCGGTGGAAAGGAGAGTTTTGGATTAAGAAGTTATTAGAGCTCGTTTGGACACTTGTTTACGCCTTTCATCGATCGATGAAGTAGTTTCACGCCGTTGCGAGGATGCGAGCTTCGCAAAACAGGTGAATAAAATTAGATTACTTAAAGTTTGTTTGTAAAGAAATGGCTTTGAGTGAATTGATCTTGCTGTGTTTTGCCTACTATTATAGTAGGCTTTCCCCATTCTACTGCTAGCCTGTTCTTTAATGACAACCGGCAAGCCTGTTTACGCGACGGCAAGACCTTGAAAGTTTTCCTTTGTACAGAACTTTGCCCTTTATGTGGTAAACAAGTAATCGCAAGTGCCCCCAGGCAATTAAGGATCAATTTCACTTGCATTTTCAAAGTTTTCCAGATTGCCCTTGCCTCTTCAAGACTCGGACAATTTTGCGTAAAATTAATCCTTAATTGCCCTCGGGCCCGTGCGATTACATATACAAAGCACTCGTGATTATATAATTTATCAATAAAGGGCAAAATTACTGAGCGCTGATTGGTTGAGAGA